GAGCTTTGTCTGTAGGCTTTCCACCTACCATAATATAACCCATGTTATACACCTTGCTTCAGTGTAGAATTAAACTGATTGGACCACTTCAGCTTGGATCCCCCAGGAAGCCAATCTCAGAGGCAGTAACAGGACCTCCAGAGACAACAATTGCAATTGCAAAGATACACACAGTAATTATGCTGGGATTATTAATTAAAATGTTTACTTGCTGAGGTCTTACCAAATGATATGCTACAACAGGCATGAACATGCTCTTCTGAGAGCCTAAGCCAACAAGAGCCATTTAACTGCAACTAGAATATCAGCTAATAAGCCTTGTCCTGAATCATGGTATATTATTTTAGGAATGATGCCACACTAAAGTGGCATGGATTGTATTGGTTGAGAGTGCAAAAGACCAAAATTATTTGCTAGCTAAAACCTATGAAAACATTGCCACAATTTTGGCAGAGTTTAGGTTGCTCAGGTAGTTCAGTTGTATATTTCTAAGTTGAATATTTTATATATGAAAAGCCAGAGGCCCAGGCAAGAATAAGATGAATTACTGTGTTTTCATACAGACATTATGGTATCTGCTATGTAATAATTTGTAATTAAACTCAAAAAATCTGAGTTTCATTGCTTTTTAGCTATCATTAAACATAATGTTGGAAACTGGGGAAAGGTGAGATTGCAAATAGGTTTAACTGCTATTTCTCCCTCTTTGGAAATAATTGAGATCCCCACAAAATTACAAAAAAAATGCTACTTTGCTAGAATTGTATGTTTTAAAATGGATTTGCCATTAATGGATAATAAAGAATCAAAGAATCACCGAACAGGTCAGGTTGGAAGCGACCACAGTGCGTTATCTGGTCCAACCTCCCTGCTCAAGCAGGATCATCCTAGAGCACATGGCACAGGATTGTGTCCAGATGGTTTTTGAATATCTCCAATGAGGAAGACTATACCACCTCTCTGGACAATATTCAGATGGAACTTCCTAGTTTCTGCCCATTGTCTCTTGTCTTATTGCTTATACCAAGAAGAACCTGGCTCCATCCTCTGATACTGTCCCTTTAGATATTTATACATTACTGAGGTCTGCTCTCACTTGTCTCTTCTGAAGCCTGAAAAGGCCCAGCTTCCTCAGCTTTTCCTCATACGAGGGATGCTCCAGTTCTTAAATCATCCATATTATCTTCTGCTGGGCCTGCTTCAGGAGCTCTATGTCTCTCTTGTACTGAGGAGCCCAGAACTGGACACAGCACTCCATATACATCCTATTCTCAGAGACATTATCATGACTGTTAAAAGGTTGCTTTGGAGGATAATATCATTGATGTGGAGCCATCTCATATGTAGGTGCAAGGAACTGAGGTGCTGGAGGATGCAAAACTGAAAAATCAGGTTCTATGGGGAGTCTTTCACTCTGTACTTACAAATAAATGGGTACCACTAGAAACTAAGATGTTCAGACAGCGGTTTTATTTTCAAAGAGTGTCTTGGACTAAAACATTTATTGTGTCTAGTAAGTGAAACAGAAAGTAATAGTGTAATAGTAAGGCAGTCCCAGCTCACATTATGAGCTAGGATTGACTTCTAAAGTAAAGGAAAATAATGTGTTTGAAAAAAAAAGGCAAGTAAAATTTTGGAAGAATCTGATTCTTCATCTGCAGTTCAGTTACAGACTGCAATTTTGGCCTGTCCTGGACCTTTGTAAGGCCACAGAAAAGAGGAGCAGAGAGAGAGAGAGAGTTTTAGAATAACCAATACTATTTGGCAAAATATTTAGTAGACGCTGACATGTTTTCCTGCGTGTGCCAAAAATAAAGGGACATTCTCCTTGCCCCTCCACTATTTAAATAATAATGTTTTGTAGTCTGAAAAGAAGTTTTCAATCTCCAAAGCTAAGCAGGCAAAAACTGGTATAATGACTGAGGATGGGACCATACCCGAGGCAATTTGATAGTCAACACCTACAATAAAGCTACAGACTTCAGAACTTCCCCAAGAGCCCCAAAACCTGTTTTTCCAAATGTAAATTTTCTAGAAAACAGATGATCTGAAACTCTATTTTTCAAGATGTTATATTTATCTAACATAGCAGCAGTGTATAATGCACAGACCAACAACAGTGACTTCAGGTACTGAAGTCTGGGGTGAGATATAAAATCATTCATTCTAGTCCAAAAGGAAAACTACCTCAGTAGCATAACATCATTAGAGAAATTATGTGGTGTCATTTATACTTAATCAAATTATATTTTGGCATCAGCCAAGAACTAAGCTGTCACATATAATAGAAACCTGGATGCAGTGAGCCTGTAATATTTAAAACTGATGCTGGAGAAAAAAGGGAATTGCATAAACTATGACAAACAGAATAATCAATATGGCACAGTATCTGAAGTATTTTCCCATTCAGAAAAAATGTGCTTTATATCTAGAAGGGAAAAACAACAGTAATAGCCTATAACGCAGGCCTGAAAATTTGGTGGACACAAACTGAGGCAAGGTTCATCCTAGAATCCTGCAAAAATGAAGAGAAGCGGTGTTATGAACCTGCTAATTTGTGCAAGAATACCTAAAGTGTTAACACTAGAACTAGCACCCCTACTAAATCAAAGAGATCCCATAAACACCTTTAGCAAAAGTGATGTCTGTGCCTGAGGGGGAATCTATAGATCCAAGTCACTGAGACATCATATATCTGATACATTAAAAGTATCTGATACATTTTATGGGGCACTTTGCTTTCAAAAAGAGTACTTGCCTTAACTACATGTAATATGTCATATTATTTGTACTTAGCAGAGCTTGAAACTCTACTAAATCAGCACAGAATCACTAATAGAACTGTGTCCATAATAATCCCCATAAACTTCTGGTAAATGTGGTTTCTCACCTTGTAGCTTTCCTGCAACTAACAGCAGTGTTGTGCCTCATAAAAATATGCTTTTTAAAATCCCATTGTGCTACTACAGGGCTTTGATATGCTCTTTCTTGTAATATAAGAAACTGAAATAGTTTTTTCTTGTTTTGTGTTCATCTTCCCTGACAGCTGGGGAAATGTCCTCATGTTTTTTCCTCCTGAGACATGACTATTCCCAGAACTATTGGGAACTTTTTATTAAGAAATGTTATTTTACTTCCCTCTTAACGGTTGTCTTCTCAGTTTTTTCCCTTCTGTGTGGCTCTTTTATGAGACGCAACCAACTGAGAAAAAAGGGCTGCCATCAACATGGTTCTGGCACTCCTATCTACATCTTGGTACAACAAAAATGGAAAACAAGCCAGTGAAAGAATCATAACCAAATGCTTCTTTCAGAGCTGAAGGATCTGAACTAATAAGGATCAAAGTAAATGTTCAAACCATATATATTTGACAGACTTAACTGTCCCCAGTATGCCGCTTCTGTGTCAGTAGGAAACAGACTATTGCCAAAATGTATTACAGAAGAAAAGAGTGCATTGGATGAAGCAGCACTTGTGAAGGTGAGTTCAGCAGCACAGAAGTACTGAGCTCAGCTTAGCAAAGGTTGAAAATAAAGGCTGTGTTCTGACATCTATTCAGTCTTCTTGGCAACATGCTTCATGGGGTGACAACTGTGAAAAAAGGGGTGCCATCAACATCGTGCTGGCTAGTCAGAAGGAGTCAGATGTGGGGCTGTACATCCTTGTAGAGAGCAGCTGTGTTTTGGGTTATAACTCCTTGCTGAGCAGCAGAGAGAAAGGTTGCAGGCTTGAAATCTGTGAAGGAACAGTTTGTCTAAAATGTACCTTGTTTTTTATGGATGTGATGTGTTGGAAGCATTTTCCTTATTCCCTATGGAAATGGTGGACTACCAGCTGCAGTGCATAATTAATATTAGACTGAATCTCAAATGAGGTCATAATAATAAATATCATAAACATCTTAAAGTGCACTTGATGGTCTCCTATGACATCTGTAGTTTCAACATCTGTAGTATTTGTGGCAGCCATCACTTTGTGGAACAGGAAAAGATTAATATTTTTGCTAATAAAAAAAATGGTTTCAATTTTCTCAGTTTCTATCTTTTCTTTTCTCCATGGCTACATTAATTCTCCTAATCTTTTTGAAATAATCTGCTATTGAGATCCTTTTTGCTAGGGCCCAGTTTTCTCCTAAGAAAATCTTATGGAGGGAGAGGGAGTAAAAGACCATGATACAAGGCAGACACTGTTTTGCAGTAGGATTTCTTAGATTTTGGCATAAAAATTTCTCTGCAGTAAGTGTATGTTTTTCATCAGACCTTGCTTTACCATGTGGCCTAATCTTCTTGATATTTTGCCCAACATATTATGAGCTCAAACTACTATTTCTTTCCTTTGTACAAGCCAGTAATACAAATGCTAGAGCAAATGGTATAAATCCCAGTGGAACACACTATATCTATTTCATTTGGGTTATTGGTTGCCAATGGGAATAAACAGATTTTTGTCTTTGAAGAATTCATTAGCTTCTAAGGGGAAAAAAAAAAGAAAAAAGGCAATACAAAACTCCCTTTCTAACCTTGTGAATCTACTGGGAACCAAACTCAAAACTTCATTTAGTTTTTTTGGGAGCGTCTGCTGACCTTGGCTTTGACAAACCTCGTAAGCTGTACTTTAGCCCACACAGCTTTAGATGCTAACAGTCAACTTTGAAGATATCCATTACTGCTAGTGTCCAAGCTGAAAAAGGGTGTTGGTTTAGAAAACAACTGCCTGAGCCACCACAATGTACTCTTCTATTAGATCATTCCTATTGCCAGCTTCTCCCTTTTGGAATCTTTTTGGATTACTTACCTTTTCCTAATGGTTGGCCAAGGGAATATTATCTTTCCTGGACAGTGTAAAGAACCCATCAATATTCCCTGAAAATCCTATACCTGTAGAGAAGTGCAGTGTATGCAAGATGTGTGAATCCCCAGATACCAGTCTCAGTCTCTGTTTTTATTAAAAAAATAAAGGAAACTAGTAAGATATACTTGGCCAAATGCTATGATACTTACTTGATTTAAATTGCTATCAACATTAAGAAGATGACTGTTCAAGAAAATACCAATGTCTACTGGTTTTGTTTTCCCAAAAGGCATTGTCATCCTTCTGGTGGTCTTGTCTCCAGGCTGAGTCTCTAGAGGAAATTCTAAAGAACCACTGTCAGACATAGGTACTCTACAAAAAAAATAAGAAATAAAAATTAAAAAAAAAAAAAAAAAAAGAGAAAAGAGTCTGTGGCTAAAGAGTGGATTGAAAAGGGTATTAGAATTATTTTTATTTGGGATCAATTTTATCTGTTCTGTACCATCCCAAATTAATTGGTTTATAATGAAGAATACTATGTAGAAAGAATCAAGCTGTTAAACTTCAATGGAATTATTCTCATCCAAAATATATGCATGAGAGCTTGGAAATGTTAGCAAATTAGTTACAATTTTCAGACCTCTAGGGATGAATTCCTGAATAAATTTGTAAAATTGAATAAATAAATGTAATTGTTCTGCCAATTTATATATAATATTTCAAATAGCTTTTAAAATATATCAGATGTGATTGAAAATGTATTTCAATGTAATTTCAACTGTTAAAATGTAGGCTAAGCAGTAATTATAAAGCTGTAGCTGTTCACAGCTCATACAAAGTATTTATTTCATGTAAGAGAACAGTACCAATATATTAATAATAAGTAGTGTAAGCTCTTCAATTTTTTGCGGGGTATTTTTGTATATTGTCAGAATCAGTGGATATAACATCAGGTTTTTTTGAGATATGAAATGTCCATAGGTAGCATGACTATTACTGCCCTAAAAACAAAGCCACAGAAAACTTGGCTTTCAGATTTCTATCACTATGATCTTTTATATCACTATGTCTTTTATTTTGTGGTTGTCTTACACTTGAGTGCCTACTTAAAAATACCTGTTATTAAAATTCAGTTACTGAAGATAGTAGGGTCTTTCTTTCACTTCTACTGATGCTGTTAATGAGTTTGTGTGAATTTCATGTCCAGCCATTCTCCTAGCACAAGCATTGGATGTTTCTTCCAAAAAGTCTCAGTCTCACTGTAAAAATGACTTGTAACTGGAATTATGTTATCAGTTTTTTTTTTTTTTAATGTAATGCCATTGAATGTTATTCAAGGGATGTCAGTAGTGAGCACAAAAGGAACACTAAAGGAACACTTACATCAGCTGTAGAGAAAAAACATGGAGAAATTACCTACCATGTTAAACATGGTACATTTTTTTTCTAGTGCTAATATTTTTCCTGGAGGTACAGTAATCTTGAACAGGGCTCTCTTACTAGCATACCCCTAAAAACTGTATATTTAGAGATACCTGCAGGTGCTTGCATCTTTCCTGGTCTTGTTTCATGGTTTAACCTGTTTGCAGTATGGGTCATCCCTTTGGTCACTTGTAATTAGTTGTAATTAGTTTTCCCAACTGAGTGCAAACTCTCCCTGCAAACTCTTGTGCACCCCAGCCTACTTTCTGGCAGGGCAGTATGAGGAGCAAAAAAGGCCTATATACTGAATAAGTACTGTTCATCAATAACTAAAGCATCTCACTGTTACCAACACTGTTTTCACCACAAATCCAAAACAGCACCAAACGAACTGTATGAAGAAAATTAACATTGTTGTGGTTTATCCCCATCCAGCAAGCAAGCCCCTCACAGCCAAGTGGGCTGAAGCCACTTACTCACTCCCCCGTAAGCTGGACCAGGGGGAGAATTGGAAGGGTAAAAAGAAGATTTTGAGATAAAGAGTTTGATGGGGAAAGCAAAAGCCATGCACACAAGCAAAGCAAAACAAGGAATTAATCACCACTTCCCATGGGCAGACAGGTGTTCAGCCTTCCCCAGGAGTGCAGAGCCACATCACATGCAAGTCATTTGGGAAGACAAACACCTTCACTCCAAACGTCCCCTTTCTTCCCCCTTCTTCCCCCCATTTTATAAACAGAGCATGATGCCATGTGGTCTGGAATATCCCTTTGATATATTCAGCTGGGGTGACCTGTCCTGGCTCCTTGTAACCTCCCATGCATCCCCAATGTCCTTGCCAGAATGGCAGTACTAAAAAGACAGAAAAGCAGAAAAAGCCTTGGATCTGTGTGAGCCCTGCTCAGCAATAACAAAAACATCTCTCCATTATCAACCCTGTGTTCAGTACAAAACTAACACAATCTCCATACCCGATACCATGAAGAACATTAACTCTACCCCAGCCAACACTAGCACAGACATATTTTTTGCATAGACATGGCAGCAGTAATGTATCTTGGTTGTACTCTAACAAAAACAAAACTAAAATTTGCCCTTGTTAATGTCCAGCTGGGTCACCTTCTCCTGCTTATCAGGCTGCATCAGGTTTCAATAAACACAGATTGCATTAATTTATTAATCAGATACCTTTTAAGCAGTTGCTGCTGCTGCGGCTTCTTTTTCTGCTGGGCTTTTCTAGCATTTCTGATGCCAAGCCTGAACTGCTAGGCCCAACAATGTCTATTAAATCTGGTTCCTCTCTGCACGTACTGTATCTTATTGAATAATAGGGGTTAGATAAGCTGGGTTCACTTTAATTTTAGACACAGACACCACTTGTTAACTAGTGGTACATTATAAGTGCACTAACCTCACTAGTGAATTACAGACCTTACCTAAATTATAAACCATGAGATATCCTCAGCCTTTCTGAGGATGTTTACAGCATTCTGCTGTTGATCTTTAGTGCAATTTACCTCCATGTATGACATATACCACGGGTGAAATCCCAGTGAAATTAAGTGACAGATGGACTTCCTCACTCCAGAAGGTTACTAGACATATTTATTTTGGAACTTTTCCATTTCCTACTTAACTAAATATCCAAATTTTATTTTAAATGAAATATCTAAATAATTTATTCAGCTGAATAAAATACTTCTACTTGAACAGATAAAATGTGAATAAACTTACTGCTCTGGGAAATTGTAGCATCTATATGAACACCTAATCCTCTGTACAGCTTAAAAAATTCATACTTTCTGTAACTAGCAATGAAGGTAATAATTAAGGTTGTTATGGACTGTGCTTTTTATCATGCCTTTCTCTGGATCTTGCTTTTCATACAGCACTAGTGATAACAACAGTGTAGTATACAGAATCCATATTATCTATAAACTCCAACTAGAAATCACTAAAATACATAATGATTGAGGATTTCATTATTCTCTTGACCACTTCCTGATCCAGACTCCCTATAAATAGCTCAGAAAAAGAAAAATTTTCCTGCCTATACGAGACTGGTAATACCATTATCATAATGGTAGGTGCTACTAATACTAACACTACCTAGCAGCCCTTTCCAAGACTTAGCATAGCAATGTCCTGAAGTATCACAGGAGATAACTAGAGTGTCAGTGACAAAGATGCTAGCAAAGACTGTCCAATGCCATGACTGCTCAAGAAAAATTGTATTAGTTTTCTTTTCCATGACATCTGTAACATGTCAGTCAGTGACTAGTTCCAAGTAATTGTCTGCTCTTGGGGCTGGTTGAGTGTTTCATGATGAGGGGTTTTTGTTATACTTGGATAAACACACTAAAACTCAGAATTGACTTTTGGCTTGCAAACTAAAATCTGGCTTCAGAAAGGAGAAATGTTTTTTTGGCTTGAGTTTTGGTCAACAGTATCCCTTGGTGAGACTCTAGAAGTGCTAGGGGAGTTCCAAACTGATAAATAAGCCAAACACACAAGTTGTTTTTGATCAATGAGATTACAAGGAGAAAGCAAGATACCACTTCATTTGTTCTCAATTCTTTGTGCACTGACAATTTTTTTGTTTACCAACTTGCTATCAAACATTCGTTTTATGAAAACACATAATCAGAACAACAAAAAAATATATATAAACTTTTCTTCTCATGTTTTATGGGAAAATACTGTTCCTATGCCAATGATTGCTTGCTACCTCACAAAAAAAGGGAATGCAGACTGTAGTCATTGATTCCAATCAAACAAAAAGGATTATAATGATAGTCTAACATGCAAAGACAAATTTATCTTGGATTAATTTGTTTAAATTATTTATAGACTAAGAACAATCTCCTGGGTCTTATACTCCTGTTTTCAAGACAGTTTGTGATGGCAATAAAGTATCTGTATCAACTACTCAGCTTTGTATTGTAATTTAGTAGGTATGACAAAAATAGTCACCTTGTAAAATGGTCAGCTTGACAAAAATAGTCTCCTTGTAAAATGGTCAGCTTGACAAAAATGGTCAGCATGGGAAGGGCATGTCTGCAAACAAGTTTGTGGGGAATAAAAATAAGCAGAATTAGCCTTGCAAAACTCACCAAAAGAGCTAATGGCTTTGTCCTATAAAAAAAAGCAGAATTAGCCTTGCAAAACTCATCAAAAGAGCTAATGGCTTTGTCCTACCTTCTACTCTATCAGGGAGTTGTAATAGGGGATTCTGGGGATTCTGACCCACAGCTTTCAACTGACAGGATTACATGGACTTTTAGGAGAAGTTTCTCAGAAAGGAAGACCTGTAATGCTTAGTTTTCATTTAATTTCCCTGTGTACTGCAAAGATTCTGTTTTCATTTAAATTTTGTTATTTTGGTTTTGAACATTTATCTCCTTAATTTCATTGGGTCCCATGTGACTCAAAGAGAGCTACTCTCTGAAGACAGCTATGGTAGGTAAGAATATCTTCAGCATTGCACTTAGAATTGACTATTTATTCATGAGAAATGGGAACCAAAGTCCTTTTTAATGAAAGGTTCCCTACAGATGGGGCTATAGTAGTCTTTTGTGAGGATGCTTATCAGTATATCCTTAAGAAATGTATCTTTTTCACAATAAGGTTTCCGATTCAACTGTGCTAAACTCTAATCATTACTAGGATAATCCTGGCAGAACTAATGAAGACTGACATACTTCCTTCCCTCTGATCCCTGACACGCCTTGTATTCAGATTACAAATGATCACTATCCTGTTTTTGCTGTGCTATAATGAAACCAAAGGGCCTAGTCTTCTGACAAAATTTTCAGGTATAATACTGAAGGACTTTCCAGTCCTTTCCCTAGGGAATATACAGGACTACCTGCATGCAAACCTAATGCTGCATGAGCAGGTTTCTCACTAAGTATATTTTGCCACTGTACACACCTGGTTTTGGAGCAAAT